ACACATTTCCTGAGGGAAGAGACAGCGCCCTCTCTTTATACGGTTTTAATTTGGACGCCGGGTACGCGTCGCGTTGAAGAGTCGCCTATTTTCCTTCCTACTTCTTCTTCCCTCGTTTTCTTCTCTTTTTTCCCCTCTTTTTTTTTTTTTTTTTCTTTTTTTGGTCGCGTGTGTTTGCACAGGGGTCCGGTAATTGCTGGTTTTCCATCTCGAAAGCGACTCGTCGACCAGGAGGCACGGGAACTCGTTTTCTCGGGGAGATTGCGAAAACATCGCTGACGGAAGTATTTAAAACGAGCGGAGGCGTCGATTTTTATTTTCATTTCGACTTTTCGACGATCGGGGGAGCGAACAAAGAGGCACCATTACCGGTGGCGAATACAAAGGGGCTGCACGGGCTTGGAGCCCGTCGACCTTGACCAAAGAAATCTGAATTTTAATCGCTTCGAACGATTTCTTTGGCCGTTGACAAACGTTTCATTATTATCGAAACTTTAATATTTCTGTTTTTCTTTGTAATTTATCATTTTTCTTTGAAATCTCGAATTTTTGTCGCCATTTTTCTTTAACCTTCTTTCAATTAGATCTGATGCAATTGATATTGTTTAATTCCTAGGAAGGGGATTTTCGATCCACCGAAACCTCGAATTTTTTACACCATTTTTTTTAACCCCCTTTTTGGATTAGATCTGTCACTAGCGGTGAATAAATTGGATCATGTTGTACGAGGTGTTATTTAATTCTCAGGGGTGAGATTTTCCAAACCTCGAAATCTCGAATTTTGTTGTCATTTTTCTTTATCCTTCTTCTTTGAATTTCATCTGCCATTAACATTGAACTAAATTTGACCACGTTTGTACGAGATATTATTTAATTCTTAGGGGTGGAATTTTTGAATCCTCGAAATCTCAAATTTTTATCACCATTTATCTTTAATCTCCACTGAATTAGATCTGCCACTAACGATGACCAACGAAACTTAGTAGTTTGACCACGTTTGTACGAGATATTATTATTAAATAAAAAATAGTGACAAAAATTTGAGATTTCGAGGATTCAAAAATTCCACCCCTAGGAATTATCCTACCACCATTTTTCTTTAACCTCCTCTGAATTAGATCTAACGATGATTAAGTTTGACCACGTTTGTGCGAGATATTATTTAGTTCCTAGGTATGGGATTTTTTAATCAGAAAAATCTCGAATTTTCGTCGCCATATTTTTATAGCCCTCCCTTTGAACTGAATCCATCACTAAATTTGGCCACGTTGCACGAGACGGGCGAAAGACAAAGGTGATCTTCGGATCGAGAACTCTATTTATCGTGTTTAGCCAAGCCGCGTTATAAATAAACGTGAATTACGTAAGCTCTCCGATCATGCGCACAAAAAGTAAGGCAAGAGAATCTTTCACGCTCTCTTTTGCGCCTAGGAGTTTATTAGTTGAAGCGGCAAGTCAAACACGAAGATGCGGTAGAACGCGTGCAAGAAAAATAGGGTAAAACGTGTCGGATTAAGACGAGAAAAGTGCAGCGGGACCTCGATCAACGCCCGAGATTCTAAGAATTTAGAACGCTAAACGAGATCAGGTTAACCTTCCCTAGACAGAAAAAAAAGTAAAAATAAATACTAATTAAACTATGATCATTTTCAGTATAAATTAAGCATATTGTAAAAATTAAACACGATACAAATTTTGAAACACATTTAAATAATACTCGTCCAAACAAATTTTCAAAAGTTCGATCAGATAAAAAGTCCCCATAAAGAAAGTTTCAAATTTGGCGGAAAAAAGACAAAGGAGAAGAAATTAACAAAAATTAAAATTAAAATTAAAGAAATTCTCTTTAAATGATGGGAACCCCTTCCACAATATTACTGGAATCATTAGGTTGAATCAAACCATTAATTAAGAAATTTTTCAAACTTATACTATTTCATTTTGTTCAAGTTTGTTCATACACTCAATGCTTACGAAAAAAGTACATATTTGTTTTACGAATATCTAACGATGTAAAAAATGTGTTGATTTAAATATATTAGACACCATGACGTGGTTTCGTCATTGTGAAATTTGGCATGAAGAATTTATGACGAATCAGATCCGTTGGGGTTAATTTACATTCTATTCGACGATTAGTTTCATCGATGGCCACGATATTCGCGAAAAACTGTGCTATAAATTACGCGGGAAATTAGTATATTTAAAAATAGACGTTGCAACTATCTTCGAAAATTTAATTTACGATTCCTTCTTTTCCATAAAATATTTACCAATATAAAATGACTGTTTGAAAATAAATACCGATTTTATTTCCGGTTTATTTTCAAAATCGTTTGCAGTATCGCGTCCCCTGCTTTACAAAACGCAGGTATAAATCGCCCCTTTCTTCGCGGAGCGTCGTCCAGGCCGCGTGTCCCTGAAAATCGCGAGTGACCTTCGAAACCGGCGACTCGGGGTAATTATAACCGTCCCGTCCCTTGTTTTTAAAAATAAACGAGCACAGGGTGCGTGCGCGTACGCGTAGCAAAGTCACCCAGGAAGATCTTCCGCCATTCTTCCCCTCGCTGCCGCCAAGTTTATTACCTGAAGCTACGAATGAATGGAAGGAGCATGATAAAGCGCGTTAAAAGAGGGTGGTAGTCCACTCCTGAAGGCCGTAAAGGGTGTGGAATTGTAGGCGGGTGTCAGGAGGGACGGGGGAGGGGCGCAGAGAAGGGTTTCATTCATGAACGTGTTTTATTGTTTCAGGCACAACGCGGCTGGAGAACAGAGGAGGCCGGATAATAGCAACGGAGGAACCGGAAAGCATAAACCCCGCGCAAAAGTGGAAGCCACTTCAAGCGTTTTCTGCGGCACGACCTTCCCGAAAATTATCACGAACATCTCCAACACCCCCCTGAAAACTCACCGTTCGAAAATTGATCTCTGCAAAACTCGAGTGTCGTCGAAGAGTAAACGAAAGAAAAAAAATGTGTCAGCTTTGAAAATGTGGCTGATACTAAAAATCGCCAAAAACTACAAAGAGCTTTTAGAAATTACGAGAACTTTCCAACATAACGATTAGAAAAGTCACCAAATATTTTGCAATGCTCGACGCACCTCGTTACTGCCAGAAATTAAACGGTATTAGAATCCACGAATCAAGGACGTCGGGATCGGAGGAATTGCGATGATTCTGATTTGGAAAAGAGACTCAACAAGTAAACACTCGGTGAATTCGTGGCGATATTCGAAGAGAATAATTTCATTCGGACGGAACGCCATCGCGTAAATCGTGGATGCGTTACTTAAAACATTGCCACGCCCTTACGCTGCAACCTTAACTTCCGGCACCACCTATAATAAACCCTTGAAGCTCCCATGTGCATCGCATACTCCACCCCTCTCTCGTCCCCTGTGCCCAGGGTCGTCCAAAGTTCAAACTCTTCCGACGGTCAGAACTTTTCCCGTTCGAAAAACTGGTCCTGGTACAATCCACGGCAAAATTTCATTCTTGGCAGACCCGTGAGACTGGCAAACTTAAACACTGTTTGAGAATTCGAATATCGGGCCCTCCTCTGCGAAACATCGAAGATTTATGTCGGATATGTCTTTTGGTTGCTTTTGTCGAACGCTCGACGAGTACGTCGAAATCTATTCGCAGCGTGGAACAAAGAAAAGCAAAACTATAGTTTTATAGAAACACAAAGTCCTCCGTTTACTCGGTTAATTAATTTTAAAATTTTCCGTGTCGATTTGGTACGCAATATTAATTTCTGAAAGCGATCGAAACGCTCCTTTGCACAGAAAATCAAAGAAAAGAACATTTTACGCGATATGTAAATACATAGACGTATAAAATATGTAAAAGGATTTAAAAGAGGACACAACCGCGTAACTCGAGGACTTACTGCGCAAGGTTTAAACGAGAATTAAGGTTGAAATGTTAGCTTACTGTATACCGTGTAATATCTATCGCGTGCAGTTTTAACAATGCGACGTTTAAAGTTCACTTTAGATTTACATTTATTAATCATATTTTGCTCTCAACTTTCCCCTTTCTCGTCTGCGTACAACGCTTTAAAATCATTTATACCGTTCGTCACACAAAAAGAATCCTCCGTATCGAAAAACGTCGTATTATTAAAACTGCTCGCGACGACCATTACGAAAAAAAAATAATTAAAGTGGAAAAGACACGCTCGTGCTGGAAATTCGTCGAAAAATTACTTCGAAGTTCGTGTCGCCGATGAAAAGCAATTAAATTTTCACGCGTGTGCCGCTTAATTTTGTTTAAATTTGTTCGCCCGTACGGTGATTGCAAAGAAGATTTTAATATACGAGTCAAACTCGGTGACAGAAATTTAAAAAAAATGAACAGTTCGATCCGCAAAGCATAGTTTGGATTCGACGAACGCCGACGAAAATTACGTGTAGTCCGAGTACCTGAGTTTGGAAAGTCGAAATTCAAACGGGGGCGTCGAAAGGCGCCCGGGTGTAAATTTCTTTGGTAAAAAGAGGCGGCTGAAATATCTTCTCCCTTTCCAAGGCGAAAGAAAGAAATGGCCCCGGCTTTCCAATTAGCATTCTTACTCCTGCCACTGCAGGCGAATTCCGGCTTTTGGGGGTGGCAAGTGTGCAACATAAACCGCGCGATAAAACGCCGCTGGCACGTGTATATCACCCGCACAGCCCCCGCTTCTTTTTCATTTTAGTTTCTCGCGCGGCGGGGCGGAAAGCGGTAAAGTAGAAACGGCAGAAACACGGCCAAGAAGAGTTTATAATGCTCTTCCCGTGCCGCCCCGACGCTCCGCCACTTCGTCGACTAACCAAAGAAGGTTCTCAAAATTCTTTTCCAACGTTCAGTTTACGCAAATTTTAAACTTTTGATCTGGTATTGAATTCTTCGAGCTGGCACGAAAATACGAAACAATACTATATAATAGTTTGTTTTGAATAAGAGGAGAACAGATTTAATCCCAACCTATAAATGTACTAGACGCATTCTCCATATTTTTTTCGCAAATTTCAATTAAATTTCGATTTAGAATTGAAATCTTCTGGCGCGAAAGACGGGGCACGAAAAGATGGAATACAAAATGATAAAAATTGAAAGACGTTTGTTTTGAATAAGAGAAAAACAGATTTGGTCCTAACCTTAAAATGTACTAGACGCATTCTCCATATTTCTTTCGCAAATTTCAATTAAACTTCGATTTAGTATCGAATTCTTCTGGCATGAAAAATGGGGCACGAAAATACGGAATAAATATTGAAAGACGTTTGTTTTAAATAAGAGAAAAACAGATTAAATTTAACCTATAAATGTACTAGACGTATTCTCTATATTTTTTTGCAAATTTCAATTAAACTTCAACCTACTATCGAATTCTTCTGGCGCGGAAGATGGGGCACGAAAATACGGATTTCGAAACAATAAATATTGAAAAACGTTTGTTTTAAATAAGAGAAAAACAGATTTAATATTAACAGATAATTGTACTAGACGCATTCTCTATATTTTTTCGAAAATTTCAACTAAACTTCGATCTAGTATCGAATTCTTCTGGCGCGAAAGACGGGGCACGAAAAGATGGAATACAAAATGATAAATATTGAAAGATGTTTATTTTGAATAAGAAAAAAAACAGATTTAATCCTAACTTATAAAGGTACTAGACGCATTCTCCACATTTTTTTCGCAAATTTCAATTAAATTTCGAATTAGAATTGAATTCTTCTGGGGCGAAAGACGGGGAAGGAAAAAATTGAATAAATATTGAAAGTCGTTTGTTTTGAATAAGAGGAGAACAGATTTAATCCTAACCTATAAATGTACTAGACGCATTCTCCATATTTTTTTCGCAAATTTCAATTAAATTTCGATTTAGAATTGAAATCTTCTGGCGCGAAAGACGGGGCACGAAAAGATGGAATACAAAATGATAAAAATTGAAAGACGTTTGTTTTGAATAAGAGAAAAACAGATTTGGTCCTAACCTTAAAATGTACAAGACGCATTCTCCATATTTCTTTCGCAAATTTCAATTAAATTTCGATTTAGTATCGAATTCTTCTGGCGCGAAAGACGGGGCACGAAAAGATGGAATACAAAATGGTAAATATTGAAAGACGTTTATTTTGAATAAGAGAAAATCAGATTTGGTCCTAACCTTAAAATGTACTAGACGCATTCTCCATATTTCTTTCGCAAATTTCAATTAAATTTCGATTTAGAATTGAAATCTTCTGGCGCGAAAGACGGGGCACGAAAAGATGGAATACAAAATGATAAAAATTGAAAGACGTTTGTTTTGAATAAGAGAAAAACAGATTTGGTCCTAACCTTAAAATGTACTAGACGCATTCTCCATATTTCTTTCGCAAATTTCAATTAAATTTCGATTTAGTATCGAATTCTTCTGGCATGAAAAATGGGGCACGAAAATACGGAATAAATATTGAAAGACGTTTGTTTTAAATAAGAGAAAAACAGATTAAATTTAACCTATAAATGTACTAGACGTATTCTCTATATTTTTTTGCAAATTTCAATTAAACTTCAACCTAGTATCGAATTCTTCTGGCGCGGAAGATGGGGCACGAAAATACGGATTTCGAAACAATAAATATTGAAAAACGTTTGTTTTAAATAAGAGAAAAACAGATTTAATATTAACAGATAATTGTACTAGACGCATTCTCTATATTTTTTTGAAAATTTCAACTAAACTTCGATCTAGTATCGAATTCTTCTGGCGCGAAAGACGGGGCACGAAAAGATGGAATACAAAATGATAAAAATTGAAAGACGTTTGTTTTGAATAAGAGAAAAACAGATTTGGTCCTAACCTTAAAATGTACTAGACGCATTCTCCATATTTCTTTCGCAAATTTCAATTAAATTTCGATTTAGTATCGAATTCTTCTGGCATGAAAAATGGGGCACGAAAATACGGAATAAATATTGAAAGACGTTTGTTTTAAATAAGAGAAAAACAGATTAAATTTAACCTATAAATGTACTAGACGTATTCTCTATATTTTTTTGCAAATTTCAATTAAACTTCAACCTAGTATCGAATTCTTCTGGCGCGGAAGATGGGGCACGAAAATACGGATTTCGAAACAATAAATATTGAAAAACGTTTGTTTTAAATAAGAGAAAAACAGATTTAATACTAACAGATAAATGTACTAGACGCATTCTCCATATTTTTTCGAAAATTTCAACTAAACTTCGATCTAGTATCGAATTCTTCTGGCGCGAAAGACGGGGCACGAAAAGATGGAATACAAAATGATAAATATTGAAAGATGTTTGTTTTGAATAAGAAAAAAAACAAATTTTATCCTAACTTATAAATGTACTAGACGCATTCTCCACATTTTTTTCGCAAATTTCAATTAAATTTCGATTTAGTATTGAATTCTTCTGGCGCGAAAGACGGGGCACGAAAAGATGGAATACAAAAAGATAAATATTGAAAGACATTTGTTTTAAATAAGAGAAAAACAGATTTAATTCTAACAGATAAATGTAATAGTCGTTGAATTCTCCACATTTTCTTCACAAATTTCAATTAAACTTTGATCTAGCATCGAATTCTTCTGACATGAAAAATGGGGCACGAAAATACGGAATAAATATTGAAAGTCGTTTGTTTTGAATAAGAGAAAAACAAATTTAATCCTAACTGATAAATGTAATAGATTCTTCATATTTTTTTGACAAATTTCAATCAAAGTTCGATTTGATATTAAATTCTTCGAACTGGTGCGAAAGAAGGGGTACAAAAAGTATGAAACAATAAATATTGAAAGACATTTAAAAATGTAGAATAAAAGAAAAACAGATCCACGTAATCCTAACAGATAAATTCGGTAGACGCATTCTCTACATTTTTCCCGCAAAATTCAATTTCGACCCGCTCAAGTTTCGATTTAATATTCAATTGACACGAAAAACAGGGCACGAAAAGGCTAAAATAAAACACTAAATATTGAAAGACATTTGATTTGGAAACATAGAATAAACAAAGACATTCTCAGCAAGATTCTTGAACCTAACAAAAGCTCTCGACAATAGTTTCTCACTACCAATAGAAAAAAGAAAAAAACACCCCAATATACTCGAAAGCGTTCAAAATTCGCTACGAATCCACCCTCAATACACCGAAAATACATTCTTAGAACGAAAACACCAAATTCCAACGGATGTGCACACCCAGCCTTTGGAACGAAATAAAATAGCAAATTGTTGGAAATTTGAAGTTTGATGGTAACTCGAGAGAGGTACGACGAGAGCCAAGGGTTGAGAGCCACGGTGGACGAGGACCACGCTGTTTTTAACCCTCCGCGAGAAATTCACGCGACGAGAAGACGTCGGGAAAGCAGAGTCTGCGTTCACGTCCCGCAGGAGGAATGGCGCGCGGTCAACAGTTTCGCTAGCAGCCCCTCTTGCCAGTTCGTTTTTCACCCCTTTTCTTTCGCGCCAGCGGCTCTTAAGCGACAGCCACCGAGAAAACGCACGCACCCCGCCGACAATCCCGCGACCGTGCGACCCGCTAATTATTTAATTATTTATTTACCGAGCTCATTCCGGCCGGATTATACCCGCGGCAAGTTTCATTCTTTATCGCGGCCCTATTAGCGTTCTGCCGCCCCTGCACCGCTACCTGGCCGACTAATTGTTTACTAAGCGGCCCTTTGCCGCCCGACCTTTCGCGCTAATCAGCGAACCTACGGTTTAAACAACTCCCGAGGAGTTTAAACGACACCGCGAACGCGGCCATTTCTTATTCATGCGCGAACTATTCCGTCGTGCTTCGCACAAAAGACCAGCGAATCGCTTTGTTCGGCCAACGGTGTTCTTTCGTCGAGTCGCGACTGATAATTCAAAATTAATTGGAAAGAATAACTCCCTCGAAAGCGGTTCGAATAACTCTTTTCCGGATTAACCCAGGAACGGGGAAACTGCGGTCTTTGGAGACGTTCCCGAGCACCCTTTTCGTAAATTTTGTCCAAATTTTGACTCTTTGCTTTATAAGTGAAGTACGAAATCGGGAGAGCTCATGAAACTAGTGTGCTTATTGTTATTTATTAAAAATAGTTGCTTTTCTTTTTGATAGTACGTGTTTAATCCACATATAGGTGACACGATTTTTCTTTGAGGAGCTACAAAAATTCAATTCTCAAGGTCAGATGTTAAAGAAAATAAACCTGGATAGGATTCTTGAATTTTAACGAGGCTGTACAAACAACTTCTATGGCAAATTATCGATACGCTAATTTCCAATTACCTAAAAATAAAGTATCGTTTTCGTGGACAATTCGAAGGGTTTTATCAGTCAACGTGTTAAATGAAACCTAACGCAGGTCTGTAAAGTGTAACGTATTCCAAATGAATAGTAATCAGAATTAATTCAAAGTCCCCAAAACATTGCATTTCTTCAAACTACCCCGATTGATTTTTTGTTTTAGCAATAAAATGAAGCAGCCAGAATGAAATTGAAAAAGGTCGATAAACTGTACAATTACCCCTGGCTCCGTTTATCGATTATAAATTTCGATTTGGTGTCTATTTTGATGTAAAATTTTTGAATTGCTGTTTTTGAAGCATGACATTGAACGGATAATCGCTCTTGTAGATCTATCCATTGTTCTGTGGTCAACTCGAGGAGGTATAGGCACAAGTCGAGGTACTCCTACGCAGAACCACAGTCGATGTTCTATAGATTCACGAGATGTCCTTTTTCTTGTTCGATCGACGTGCAAAAAGACAATGTAAATTGAAAAAAATCGTTCGTTAACCCTTTCAGACCTGGTGGTGATAATTTTTGTGATGTACAATTTGTATTCATAGATTGTGATTTATATATACACGTATAATTACGAAAGTATGCAATGTACTTGCTGGATTCATTTTAAAATTGCTTATAAACCAGTAATTATTTAAAGAAATCTGACCAAAGACAGCCTCTAAATTCGGTGCTCAGAGTGAAATTGAAAAAGGTCGATAAACTGTATAATTACCCCTGGCTCCGTTTATCGATTATAAATTTCGATTTGGTGTCTATTTTGATGTAAAATTTTTGAATTGCTGTTTTTGAAGCATGACATTGAACGGATAATCGCTCTTGTAGATCTATCCATTGTTCTGTGGTCAACTCGAGGAGGTATAGGCACAAGTCGAGGTACTCCTAAGCAGAACCACAGTCGATGTTCTATAGATTCGCGAGATGTCCTTTTTCTTGTTCGATCGACGTGCAAAAAGACAATGTAAATTGAAAAAAATCGTTCGTTAACCCTTTCAGACCTGGTGGTGATAATTTTTGTGATGTACAATTTGTATTCATAGATTGTGATTTATATATACACGTATAATTACGAAAGTATGCAATGTACTTGCTCGATTCATTTTAAAATTGTTTATAAACCGGGAATTATTTAGAAAAGTCTGGCCAAAAACAGCCTCTAATATCCGTGTTCAAAGAGGTTAATTGAATTCTTTAAAAAACATTCGCTTTTATTTTTATGAATACTTGTTTGTACCTTCGACGAAATCGACTTGTGTGACTTTTGGAGAATTCGTGAACAAACTCCGAGCTCTCTGATGCCAAAAACTACCCCGTTCCTGGATACGTGAATAAAGATTTAGTTTCTAACTTATTTGAAAGTCATCACTAAAATTGTGATCGAATATTCGTAATGAAATTTCGAAATGTAAACTCGAAAACATTGAAAATAGAAAAATGAAATAGTTTGATATGGGTTAGGATCTTTTTGTTGGGCCAAACAAAATAATTTGTTTTTATAGAGTTAACCCTTTATCGCATAACTGATCGAGACTCTAATAAAAAAGTTACCTGTAAAGTTGGCTGCAGAAATTATAAAAGAGAAACATATTTTCTTGTTTATTAGCACAATTTAAAGTACATATGAAGATAAATTCTTTTAATGAAAGCATATAAATTATTTAATGTGAACATCGCCGCTGAAGTTGTGAACACATGCAGTCGTAATTAAATTTTCAAGATTAATAAATGCGATGGATCAATATCAATTAAAATTCTTTTTCAGTTCAAACACGTTGGTTCACCCCTGAAACGTGCAGCGTTCTATTGTACAATGCGACGAATCGAAAATATAACAAAAACTTTACATGTAAAGTTGACTGAAAAAAACAATTTTTTTTATGCATATTTTCTTATGGGGACATTTAGTGGCTCTATAGATTCAACTGTTCATTGTTCAATTTGAATATTTAAAATTTTGTAACATAGAAGTCTGCTAAAATTATAAATATATGTAATTTAATTTCATATAACACAGAAATATCATCACAAATTTGAAAGATATTAAATAATTCGTTCTTAAAGTTGAAAACAAAAAACTATGTATAGAGTTACTAACAAAATTTTAAAAAATTCACACATATTTTCTTATGGAGACATCTGCCAGCTTTGCATGATCGGCCATTTGTTGTTCAGTTTGAATATTAATCTTCTCAAGAATGCTGACATCAATTTAACTTATTTGAAATATTATAACATGAAAGCCACCACTGAAATTATGAACAAATATTCATAATTAAATTTCTAAACAATACAACACGAAATCATTGTCACAGAGTTGAAAGATGCCATTGGTCGATATCAGTTTGAATTCTTATTTATCTACAAGACATTAAAATAAGTCAATGTTCATGGATGCATAAACAGCCAAAAAATAATCTCATTTTAAAATTGTTAAAAAATTAATGCAATAAAGGGTTAAATTGAAAAATAATACAATAAGACGCTCGGTTAATGCTCTGGATTTTTTAAATTTATGTCCCTAAATCATTTTCTGAAAACACGAACACAAATAATATTAAACTTCTTTTCAACAATATTACTACATTATTATTACTACTATCATTGTTACCGTCATCATCATCATCATTACTGTCATTACATGTTTTGATATCTCTTATAGTCTGGAAATTCGAAGAGTTACCTTTCTTATTATATAACGAAAGAACATAAATCGGAGTCTTAGCCAATTTTCAATTCTGAAATATAAACCGTAGGTCCCTGATAACTTCTCTAAATCATAATTCTATCCAATGCTTGAATCTTAAATTCGTTACAAAATGTACGATTTCTAAAAGGCACAGTTATGAAATCATCTGGAATAATTGTCTGGCATGTTTGATTGTATCAATTAGGCGCAAATACCAATGAATGATACTCGATAATACTTCGTTTACAGGCGACAAATTATTTATAATTCTGCTGAGAATTTGCAAAACTTCAAAACACGTTGACAGTTGCATATTCAAATTTTGTAATTCGCGAACATCTTGATGGCAAATATTTTCACGGTCAACGTGTTTATAAAGAACGAGCGTCCACGAAAGAGGCGTCGAATATTAAATTCCCCATTCTATATCAGAATTATGCAGAAATTAATACAACAAAATATCATTAACGTTGTTGCGAAGCTATTGGTAAACCGAACCGAACAAGAACGTATCTTAAAT